TTCACCCTCGATGCTAACTTGTCTCGGAGAACCACATTTACAAAATGTAGAGAACGGCATCACTGGCCTCTGTGAGACGTATCTCAGGGTATACTTTCTTGGTGTAAACTGTATCTTCGAACAGATTTGTAATTACTTGACTGATGAAATGTTGAGTAGTGGCTAATAAAAAAAAAAAATTTCAGAGGGCATTTTTCCTTCCTCACTGACGTAGGCATTAGTTAAACCTTGACTCCGTTGGTCTAGAAAGCTGCTGATTTGATAGTGCCTTTGCAGATCCCTGGACTAAACTTAGCTGGTGTTTCCTTTTAGAATCCCAGCTCTGTTGTTTTCCCTTGAAGGAAAGAAACCAAAGTATTTTTAAATTTCCATTTAAACTTGGCCCCAATTTATACATCTACATCCTTTTCTCTTAAGTACCTGGAAGACCCTTGCATCTCACAGACATCCTCTATATCTAAAGCCGAGTTTCACCTCCTTCACAAGTCTGCTTCCTCTAGTTACCATTTCTTCATTTCTTCAGATTCGCCTGTCCTTCTTATCTGTATGACTCACTTTAATATGAACCAAGTGAAACGAAACAGTATACTTCCTTTTGTCGTCTACATTGTAAACTTAAAATTTACATTTTTCAATTTTTCTTCCTCAAGCAAGGGTCTGGGGCAGTACTGAGTACAGAAAAGTCATGTAATAAGGGAGATGCAGATAAAAACCACAATGAGATACCACCTAACCCCTGTCAGAATGGCAAAGATTAAGAACATAAAAAGTGATAAGTGTTGGCGGGGATGTGGTGAAAAGGGAACCCTCCTACACTGTTGGTGGGAATGTAAACTAGTTCAACCACTGTGGAGAACAATATGGAGGTTCCTCAAAGATCTACAAATAAAACTACCATTTGATCCAGCAATACCACTTCTGGGTATCTACCCAAAGGACAAGAGAATGCTCAGTCAGAAAAGTGCTTGCACATCAATGTTTATTGCAGCATTATTCATGATTACCAAGACATGGAACCAACCTAAATGTCCACAAACTGATGAATGGATTGAAAAAGTGTGGTATATATCCTCTATGGAATACTACTCAGCCATAAAAGATAGCAAGACCCTGGCATTTGATAGAAAGTGGTCAGATATGGAGGATCTATTGCTGAGGGAAGTAAGCCAGGCTATAAAAGAAAGATATTTTTATATCCACTTAACATACACCGACTATCTGCACTCTATGGTAGAGAGCAAAATATTGGAGGACATAAAAGCAGTGAAAATACTTAACGAGGATAAGACAGTGTGGAATGCCGGGGAGGGGGGGAAGAAGAGGATAGAGAAAGATAGCAAGAGAACAAATAGAGAGGCAGGAGATAGTGAGAAACAGATATGGCTTATTACCTGTTGATGATGACGTGTATAGTATTCTCAACGGGATTGGTCTGAGAAGTATTTCATGATGGGTGAAGTCTTTTTACAAGGAAAATGAGAAATAGTGATTGGTTAAAAAAATAATTGGAATAATAATAATAATGATTGGGAAAAACGATGATAAGATATTGAATGATGAAGCGGGGACATTAATGTCTCTGTATTGACTGACATGCATGGCATTCCCTCTGGAAAAAGCAATGTAATACACTGTAAAGTTATATGTGATTCAATGTAATACAAACAAGATTATGATGATAATAAATTAAAAAAGAAAAGTCATGTAAAAAATATGTGACTGATTATAAAAGAGGTTTAAAAAGACATAAAAATTTTTTAGAGTGTGTTTTTTTTTGTTATAGGGCGTGTGTGCTCGCCAGAGAGAGACAGAGAGACAGAAAGCAAGAAATAACGCCCTGGGGGATGGCCATGCTGCAACACCGTTTCCTCCATTCTCCTTTCTGGAGTTTGGACATACATGTGCATGTGCCTGGCGTGAGTTTCAAGCCACCAGGTCCAGGACTTGAACTGAGATCAGCTATGTGGGAGTCCAGTGACATAACCATCATGCTGTCTGCTGGTCCCAATATTGTTTTTAGCTTGTGTTTTAGTAAATCTCACAAAACAACAATTGACCCACTTTTTTTCTTGATGATAAAAAATCATTTTGGAGTTTCTTAAACAAAAAAGTTAAAGTTCCTATATATACTGAATTTCTAGAATTAAGTACTTTGAACAAAATTGACATGGTATTCTTCTGGTAATGTACTTATTAACTTTGCCAGTTCATTCTTTTAGAAGATGTAACTTAGAGCTGGAGCCCCTCATTATTAACAGGAGAACCACCAGTCTCTCTACCCCTTCAGTCATAGCATATGAATGTAGTTGTTAGTCATATGCTATGATAATGAAAAGTCTTGTTTTTGTGTTTTTTTAAAAAAATTATTTAATTCCATCTGTTATTATTATTATTTATTTGACCAAACAGAGACAGAGAGAAGGGGAAAGCAAGAAAGCAAGCTACCAGGTCCAGGACTCGAACTATGGTTGGCCATGTGGGATTCCAGCACCATTAACCACCACACCACCTGCCAGCTCCATGATAATGAAAAGTTTAAAGGCACAGGGCCAGCAGATGACATGGAGGTTAAGGCAGCTGGATCCCATATGGCTAAGTCCACGGTTCAAGTCCCAGACCCAGTGTCTTGAAAATCACGCTGGACGTGTGTGTGTGTGTGTGTGTGTGCGTGTGTGTGCCCCCAAAATCCCAAGAGGAAAATGCAAAAGAAGGGACTGAAGCGTGGCCATCCTCCTAGAGGGTGATTTCTCACTTTCCCTTTCTCTCTCCCTCTCTGCTGAGCACATGCGCCCTATAACAGCAACAACAAAAAACTCTTAAAAAGCGAAGGCACTTTTACCTTAGTTTTTGTGTTTCCTCCCTTTTTTTCTGCTTAGCAAGAGTACTCTGATCACTTGAGATTCATTGTCTAGGAAATTTTGAAGTTAAAAATGAAAATGTTGCTAAAGGTCCTATACTGGGTAGCGTAAGGGAAGAAAATGACTTTAAAATAGTGAAGTATCCTTAAGGGGAATCCACTGATAAACCTTTAATTTAAAACCATTCCTATACCCACGTCAGGTATGTCAGGATTCAGCCTGGAGTCAGTTAACAGAGTTAAGGTATTGAACTCAATAAAGAGATTTGGGATGGAAATGCTGATAGACCTTTAACTATAGCTGGGCTAGTGGGATGCCGAAAGAATCTCGTCAATTCATTAGCCAATCCTCTGACCTCACTGCCCTTAATTATTCTTGCTTGTCAGTGACATAAATGGGTTCTTATCACCACCTTCTACCCCCTTCCCAATTGCTAGCATTTGAGAGTCTCATTTGACATATTTTCTTCTGTATTAATATAGAGAAAGCATGGTTTGGTGGGTGAGCTAATAAAACCATTTGGTGCTGCTTAAGAAGAAAATGGAGGGTGTATTTTGCTTCTGGTGCAATTGAAGCAGTTGCTAAAAGTTTAGTTATAGCTCATAAAGGAGTTGGAGTAAACTATGAATACATTTAGAGGTTTTATTTTCAGATACTCTTTTTAAAAATTATTAAATTTTGTTTATTATTATCATTATTATTATTTTAAATTTGCTATTGGGCACATGTGCTCACCAGAGACAGACAGGGAAAGACAGAGAGAGCGTAAGCTGCCAGGTCTGGGACTCGAACTGTGGTTCGCCATGTGGGAGTCCAGTGCCTTAACCACCATGCCACCTGTTGGCCCCATATTTTCAGATATACTTAACTGCTGCATTATACTATGCCTTATGAAGTACAGGACCAAAAACGTGGACCGTATTGCTTAAGGATGAAACTGTACGTAGAACTCACTGTCATCACTATGACTATAGTTCGTGTGTGTGTGTGTGTGTGTGTGTGTGTGGTTTAGATAAGGTCTCACTATGTCCTTCTATGTCAATCAGTGTCCCAAGTAGCTGGGACCACAGGCACAGGCCACCACAATCAGCTCCTTCAGTATGAGTCTCTCTTTATTGCTCATGTTGGTCCCAAGCTTGAGATCCTTCTGCTTTAGTCTCCAGAGTAGCTGGGCACCACCACAGCCAGCTTATGAAGGGCTGGGAATTGAACCCAGACCTCCTGTGTTGGCCTCAGTGATGCTACCATAGTGATGCTACCATAACTGGACCTGTAGTTCTTTTCAGAGCACAAGGAAGGTAGTAAATCCATTAGGCCATCTGCTAGCATTTTCAGGAGAAATTTTCCCACAGGATGAGTGGATTAGAAAACAATGACTTTCAGTGAAGAATTTTGTCACCCTTTTATCTTATGTAGGAAATTTGGAAGCAGGGAGTGAGGAGAGAGAAAAAGAAATAAAAATTAAGCTAATGAGCAGGTTTGCTTTGATATGAAGTAAGAGACTGTTTTGTGGGTTATTTCAATGACAAGAATTGGTCACAGGGCCATATATTTTGTTTAATCCTGATCACAGAATTTTACTTTTTCTGTTGTGTTGGATCATATGAAATTGTCACTTTTAATAAGTGAGAAACGGTTGAATATCAAATTTTTCATAGGGTTCAATCTAGAATATAACATGTAACACACCGTAGGACAGCTACAATGGCAGAGAGGCAGCAGTATATGTGTTAGGAAAAGGTAGGAGGAAATGAAAACTTGGAAGCATTTTATATCCTCTTGGGGCACCACAGCTGAAAAACCCGTGGTCTTAAGGCATTCAAGATCAAACACAATTGCCCTAGTATTTTTTTGTACTTTCATTTTAATACCGTTGAGACAGTTTATGAGGTGAGCTGAAAAATAAACCACCTCTGACAGATTCCCACTGGGCATCATCTGAAGTGACTGTTGTCTACGTGGTGCCATAGAAACGGCAGACTGAAATATAGCTGCCCCTACACTCGCAGATACTTTGAAACTGAAGAATTTGGGTGTAACAGGTTATAGGCTAAATCAGCACACCTCGTGTGTCTTAAACATAGGTTTCATGATGGTTCTAGCGGATATCTAGACTGTACTGATTTGATTTTTCTTTCTTAGACGAGCTCATCTTCGCCTATGTTTAGAACGCTTAAAAGTTCTAATCCCACTAGGACCAGACTGCACCAGGCACACCACGCTTGGTTTGCTCAACAAAGCCAAAGCACACATCAAGGTGAGAATTTTTACTTTCAGATTTGCAGATGATCTTCTTGGTCCTGGTGTGATTATTAGCAAGGATTCCTAGCTAAGCACACCCTCTTTAATAACTGACCTCAAGAGAAATCTTTCTAAAACTTGTATCAGCTAATCTGATGGGAGCAACGTAACCTGATTAAACTAAATTGTTGTGACAGCGTGGCCATTTGAAGAGCTGGGAACGCTAGGAAAATAACAATTACCCTCCTGATTCCCAGAAGGAATGCAGTTATGCCCTCTGGTGGAGATGACTTCATTTTAATGTGTCCCTCAGTATTTTTCCATCAAATACCACACTGCAGAGGAAGTTTCTCTGTCACGGAGATTACTTTACAGACTGTACAAGTCCATCTTGTTCAAATAATGTAATTCATCACACACACACACACACACACACACAGAATGACATAACTATTTTTGGTGTCTAAATGTGTATTTACGTATATTTTTACGTATACATATACATGTACTTAAATATTCTTTCTGCCAAAGAAGAAACGTTTTCAGATGATAGGTGGAAATCAGTTTTATTGTTTGTACTGGACTATACACAAATATAAATATCATCATTTTAGAAACTTGAAGAAGCTGAAAGGAAGAGCCAGCACCAGCTTGAGAACTTGGAACGAGAACAAAGATTTTTAAAGCGGCGACTGGAACAGCTGCAGGGTCCTCAGGAGATGGAACGAATACGAATGGACAGCATCGGATCGACTATTTCTTCAGACCGTTCTGATTCAGAGCGAGGTAGGCAGAGCGCCTCTTCTAACCGAAACCCTAAGCAGCTATGTCTGGCTTTAGGAGGGTAGGTTGGGAGGCACGGTATTCGCTTTCCTTTCAGCCAGCACTTTACATTCCAGGTTTTACTCCGTCACACCATTTTCTAACAGTGCCTACGTGAACTACAGAACTTGGGTTTTTTTTCTCGGATATGTTTCTGTTTTAACTTTCTATTTTGAAGTAATTTTAGACTTAGAGGAAAAGTTTTAAGTTGTCTACAGAAGTTTTCAGATACCTTCACCCAGCTTCCTCTAATGTTAACATTTTATATAACATTAAGACAGTTCTAAAAACCTATAAAATAATATTGATACAATAGTATTAAGTACCCTCAGACTTGATTCAAATTTTACGTTTTCCCACTAATGTCCTTTGGTCTAAGGCTGTACAGAATTCCACATTGCATTAGATAGTTTCTGGTCTTTCTTTCATGGCTGTAATACTTTTAAAGAATACTGTCCGATTTTTGATACACTATCCGTCAACCGGGATTTGTCTGATGTTTTCAGATGAGTATCGAGGGGTATGCGTTTGAAGCAGAGCTCACCACAGAAGCGATGTGCCTTTCTCAGTTCATGTGTCGGGAGGATACATGATGTTATGTTTTATTACTGGTGATGTTAATGTTTATACTTTATAAAGTACCCTTTACGTCTCTTTCCATCTGGTTTAGAACATTTGTCTTTGCCAGAATTAAAGAACAGAAACCGACCAAAAATGAAACGTCTGCATTTCACTGATCTGTTCCTCTCAGCTCCCACACACCAGGTCTCACACCGCAATAAAAGACCGAAGGCCCACCCACAATGGCACGAGCAGGAGCGTACCGCTCTGCAGTGTCTGAGGCCACAGGGAACACTCCGTTCGGTTCCTACCCCACCTAAAAGGCCGAGATGGTGGCACGTATCTGTGACCCGAGAGAACTGGCAGACTGTGACGGGAGGATCACGACATCGCAAAACCCTATCAAAAAGACCGATTTCTCGCCTTCCTGCTCATTCTCTCTCTGATTAAAAACAACACAAAGATCTCAGAGGTGAACACTGGCGATTCTAAGCCTTAAATTTGGGAAGCTAGAACTCATGAGATCTTGAAGATTCTGAAGTGTTAGACAAAGAACAGTTGTGTGTTGAATTTAGATTGTTTTTTTTTTTTTTTTACTTTTATTATTATTTTTTAATTTGCTGTAGAGCATGTGGACTTCTGGAGAGAGAAAGAGAAACAGAGAAAGTGAGAAAGCACTCCCCTAGGAGATGGCCACGTCACAATCCCTTCTCCTCTTTTCTCCTCTGGGGATTTTAGGCATGCACACGTGCCCTGGCAGGTTGTGCAAGCCCTACTGGATATGATTCAAACCCCGTAGTCCGCCATGTGCGACCCAGCTGCCGTAACCACCGTGCTCCCTGGATGGCCCTAATTCTAATTTTTTTCTTTGTTTTCACTTTTTACAATGGAAATTTTCAAACATACTCAAAAGTAGAGAGGATAGAAATAATGAATTTCATGTACCTATCATCCAGTTTGAATAGCAATTAGGTCAGCAGGGAAGTCATGTATTTTTATTTTTTTCCCCATGCAGAAATGCATCATGACTTTCCCAGTGAGCCGATAGTAACATTTTGTCATTCTCGTTTCACCTGTTCTCCACCATGCTTATCCTCAGTATTTTTTCTGGAATGTTTTAAATCATACCTTAGATATCATTTTGGCCCTAGATATTTCATGTGTCTTGAATAAACAGAACTTTTAAAAACATAATTATTGTGCTTACTATAATACTCCACAAAATTAATAAAATCAGATAATCTTATTTAATATCATCTAATACCTTGTGATACGGCATCTTATCATTTCTATATTTGAATCAAGATGCAAAGTCCACATTGCATTTGATGTGCCTTTTAAGATACTTTTTATTTTTTAGAATTATCTTATTTAACTTTACTTATTTATTTATTTTAATTTGACCAGTAAGGGACAGAGTGAGAGAGAGAGAAGGAAAGTGAGAAAGCAAGCCACCAGGTCCAGGACTTGAACCACAGTGGGCCATAAGAGAGTTTAGAGTCTTCAACACCACGCCACTTGCTGGTCCCCCTTTTAAGATATTTTTAATCAGGGGACCAGCAGATGGCAGAATGGTTACATCGCTGGACTCCCACATAGTCGACTATGGTTTGAGCCCCCAGACCCAGTGGCTTGAAACTCACGCTAGTCACATGTGTGTGTGCCCATAATCCCAAGAGGAGACTAGAAGAGAAGGGATTGTGGCATGGCCATCCCTCTGGGGACAGATTTCTTACTGTCTCTGCCTCTCTGGCGAGCACATGCACCCTATAGCAAAAATCTCTCTTAAAAAAAAAAAAGATACTTTTAATCAGGGACAAGCAGATAGTGTAATGGTTATGTTGCTAGACTCCCATGTAGTTTGAGTCCCATATCTGGTGGCTTAAAACTCAATGCTGGGCACATGTGCATGCATGCCCCAAATCCTGAGAGGTGACTGGAGGAGTAGGGATTGCAGCATAGCCATCCCTGCTGGAGGGTGATTTCTTTTTTCTTTTTTTTACTTTGACTATTATACCTTTTTTATTTTTATTTTTTTTTATTTCATTTTTTTCCATACATTCCATCACATTATTATTTGTCTTACAAAATGGATATTTCAACAGGTGAACATTTCTCCCTAGTACCATTGATAAAACTACAAAATATCTTCAACAGCTAATACCACACCTCTTTGTGCCATTAATGCTTTGCCTCCCTGTCCCTCCCCTAAATGTCCTTCCTCAGACCCTCCTCTTTCACACACACTGTAACTGGCTTTCTCTTTGTCTCTGTCTCTCTGTGAGCATATGTACCCTATAGCAAAAATCTCTCAAAAAAAAAAAATCATAGTAGGTGTTTCTCCCCAACTTTTTTTCCTCATGCCCTTTTGGAAACTGATTTCTATCTAGCATATCTAGCATCTCAAAAAAACTTCTTTGGCAGAAAAAAGTGAATGAGAGCCAGCTGGTGGCCTGGTAGTTAAGGTGACTACACCCTACATGGCCGACCACACAGTTTAAGTCCCAGACTTGGCAACCTGAAACACACAGCAGATGTGTGTGCATGCATGTTCCACCTCCCAAGAGAAGGAAGAGGAGGGACTGAGATATGATCGTGCTCCCGGAGGATGCTCTCTCTCCCCCTCCCTCTCTCTTGCAACCACACTATAGCAAATTAAAAAGCCATGAATGTATATGATTGAATCCTCAGAGTCATTTAACAAGTTCTGTCCCCCATATTTCCTGTCAACTGGTTGGTAAATCTAGTAGCTTGATACTAAATTTGGGATCCTTTTGGGAGGCAAAAATACTTCCTAAGCTGTGCTTTGTACTTACTGTTGTATCAATATTGGGTCTAGCTGTCCTGCTTTTAGTGATATTAATCAGGAGGTTTGGGTGATAGTATCATCATACATTTATATAAATATACTGGACTTTCACTTAATAATTTTTAAAATTTACATTTAATCATTGTACATCTTTACAGCATACAGTATGGTTTTTCTAAGCATGCATGTGTGCATGTCAATCAAGTCAAAGATACTACTATATAATTTTCAACAGATAACTTTATATTCTTATTTCTGTTAAATGTTTTCCCCTGAGTGCCTCCCTTCCACCCCCTCATTTAATAATTTTAACATTCATTATTTCACTGGGTGTTTTAAAAGTGATTATTCTGGGACCAGCAGATGGCATAATGATTATGTTGTCCACGCCCACGTAGTTGACCACAGTGCAAGTCCTAGATCCGGCGGCTTAAAACTCACCCCAGGGGAACAAGAGATGGTGTAATGGTTATGTCGCTGGACTCCCACATAGTAAACTGTGGTTCAAGTTCTGGACCTGGCAGCTTACAACTCATGCTGGGTGTATGTGCTTGCATCCCCAAGATCTCGGGAGAGTGTAGAAGATGGGATTGTGGCATGGACATCTCCCCTGAGGGGTGATTTCTCGCTTTTTGTCTCTCTCTGTCTCTCCAATGAGTGCATGCACCCTATAGAAAAATATCTCTAAAAAATAAAACTCATGCCCAGAGCATGTGTATGCATGCCCAAGATTCCAAGAGGATGAAGAAGAGATTGTGGTGTGGCCTTCTCCCTGGGGGGTGATTTCTTACTTTTTGTCTTTCCCTTAAGCACATGTACCTTACAGCAAAAATCTCTCTTAAAAAAAGTGATTATTTTAATTCTGTCATCTCTCTTGCATTTATTAACTGTTTTTCTTCTAGACACACTATTTCCTCATCAACTTTTTGGTTAGATGAAAGTAAATTCACACAGAGAAAGAAGGATGATTGGTTTTTTACCAATTTTCTGAATGAACAACTTTCAAAGGTCACAGTTGTTCTGTGTTTTATCTCAAGAACTCCTGTTTTTATGGATTAAATGCGTTCCAACCCATTGCATTGTTTTTAATGTTCAAACTGTCCTATTTGTTCAGGAGTCTTCAAAATGGATTTTGACCCCTTTTACTAGGATTCTTTGTTTTGTTTGGTTTATTTTTAGTTTGCCATAAGGTGTGTACCCTTTCCAGGGAGAGGGGAGGAAGATGAGAAATCCTCTCCCAGGGAGGATGGCCATGCCAAAATCCCTTCTCCATTCTCCTCCCAGGATTGTGGGCACACACTCACTCGGTGTGATCCTCAAGCCACCAGGTCCAGGACTTGAACTGTGAAGTCAACCATGTGAGAGCAAGCTCCCGAACATCTAAGCCATCTGCTGACCCTCTATATAAAATGTTATGTTTTTATGGCAGTCGGTTTTGAAGTCTGCCTACCAGAGGCCGAAGCAAGAACCTCAAGGACATGCTACTGTTTATGAGTGACACAAGGTAGCAGAAGACATGCTACTGTTTATGAGTGACACGAGGTAGCAGAATCCCCTGCTAAGTACTGAGGAGGCAGACCTTGGTCCTAGTCTTCACTGCTAACTAGCTACATGACCTTACCAAGTCTTCAGACTTTACTTTCCTTCCTTTTATCTCTGTCCTGTACCTAACTCCACCTTAAAATTTCAGAGTGTGTGTCTTCCTCACTGTAATGCTCATTTTTAGTGCTCCCAGGGTACCTTAGTTTAGTAGTACCTTTTGGAATAACTCCTCTTGTCCGTGGCTCGCCACCTCGTTTTCCCAGTGGAAAGGGGCTTTCGGTAACGTCTTGGGTCCATTTGCCAGAGCAGCCCCTCATTTCACATTATTTTGATTAAGTTCAGCATGCTCTGTTGGATAGGATGCCTGATGTATTTCCCAGTTAGGGTAGGTGGGTGTTCTGTGATGCTGGGAAACCCTGAATGGCTTCTGGAGTATTGTGGATGTGAAGCCAGCGGTTATGAATCCAGATTGTTTGTACAGCTTGTTTGTACAGCTGCGTGCATTTTCAAACACAATTCTCTAAACTTTTGAAGCAATGAGCCCTTTAGAACAGTATATACTCTGAAATAATTTTGCCCATCTTTTTGACCTCAGCAGGAGCCCATTTCTCTTAAAGTAGTTGTGATTGGTGTGAACTCTTAAAGTCAGTGCCAGATATGAAATGCCATGCTTTGAGCTTGCCTGTTTGAAAGAGAACTGAAAAATCCCAAGCTTTCTTCTTGTTCTTATGAGGGAAAACAATTTTTAACTGCTTTTTGTCTTTAAATGGTGAACTGTTTTTTATATGCCATTGGTGATTATATATGTAGTATTTAATAGTTAAGATTCTGTTGATAGCTGGGTCATATAAGTATTTAAGTTTTGTTTTGTTCTTTTTTTATTTTAATGTTTGGTTTTTGAAGCTAACTAGCACCACCAGAAAGCCTTTAATGTAGTCTTTACCATAGACCTCACTGTGACTCATACTTTTAAATCTCAGGTGCTTATTTCAAGTTATAGTTGATGCAAGACAATGGAAGACAAATCCCTCAAAGTCTACTTTATAATGACTGGCTTACTGTAGTTACTGAGTATAGTCATAAATCTGTATGATGAATCCTAGAAATTATTTGTACAGTGGCAATCACTAAAAGTGTGGATGGATAGGTTTCCTAGTTTGCCAATACAGTATTCTCCCCACCCCCACCCATTAAGGCAACCCTGATAAACAGCACTGAGAATTAGTTTTTGGTTTAATGCAAAACAGATGTTGTTGAACCCTTTGGGGTTGGGATCTTTTAATATTAAGCACTAATTCCCAAATATGTCAAGTGCCTTATTGGGAGATCCAGACAAACTGGCGTCAAAGGGTTTAGTAAACTTGCTACCTAAATTAAGACTACCACTGTATGCCAGACATTCCCCTTTGCACAAAATATCCCAGTGTCCCATCACCTTTAGTTCCTCTGTTCTCTGGAGACTGATAAGCTTGTTGTATAACTATGTGATAACACATTCCCTTGTGCCTTGTTTAATGTCCTTCCTTTTTTTTCTCTTTGGCAGAGGAGATTGAAGTGGATGTTGAAAGCACAGAGTTCTCCCATGGAGAAGTGGACAATATAAGTACCACCAGCATCAGTGACATTGATGACCACAGCAGCCTGCAGAGTATTGGGAGTGACGAGGGTTACTCCAGTGCCAGTGTCAAACTTTCATTCACTTCCTAGAACCCAGCATGACATACAGTGCAGGGCAAAATATTCACTGGGCCAATTCAATACAATCTCTTAAATTGGGTTCATGCAGTCTCCTCTTTAAAACTAAACAAAATATACTTGAACAAAAGGGTCAAAAGACCTATATTTAAGCAAATACTTAAAAGTGGGGCAGAGCCTCCCCAGCAGAACAAATATTCATAATATTCATATTGGAAAGATCACAGTTTCTAATGGCAGCAGAAAACTTGTGAGATTTTCTTGGTTTGATCTAGTTGATTAAAAGAGGACATCGGAGATTCTATCCTCTTTTTCTTTCCGAGTTTGCTCATAATACATTGAGTAGACACACTTTAGGATGGGGTTCTGAACCCTACTTGAGCTTTAGGGTCCTAAAAATAAACTGAAAGTAATTAAAAGACAAGATAATCAGGCATTAATCTTTGATAACTAAAGACCTATTAAAACATACCCTGGGACAGCTTATCATGAAGCCTGTGGATGATCAATTCTTTAAAAAAAAAAAAAAAAGGAAAAAAGAAAAGAAAAAAAAAAAAGCTCATTTCATGCTCCATGCTCTGCAAAAGGAGAGACTCTCATGAAGCCTTTTGAAAGGGATCATCATGCAGCTCAGCTTTCTGTTGGATTCCATGCTAAGCAAGCTAACCATATCCTGCATTGTTAGCACTAGGGCACCCAACCGCCAGCTCGCCAGCCCCACCGCCACTAGGCCGCATGGGGGCAGTCCATGCATGACAGCCTCTGTCACACAAGGCCTATGAGTATGGACTGGGGAGCAAGAAGGAAAATGCTCCACGTGCCTCTATGTCTGCGTGGGTCAGAAGAGTTGTACACGCAGATGAGCAGGCCAAGGTCTGAGCCACGGCAGCATTTTTATTTCAGATTTTGATAACTGTTTATATGTGTTGAAAACCAAAATGACATCTTTTTAAAGCTTGTCCATAAAAAAAAAAATAGATGTCTTTTATAGTGGAAACACACATGGGGAAAAAATCATCTATTTTGATGCAGCATTTGATAATGATAAAACACCTCACTCCTCACTCTTTATAGTGCACAAAATGAATGAGGTCTGGGCTAGGTAGAATAAAAGGTCAATGCTGTTTTTGTTTTCTTTTAGAATCATTACCTTTTACCAGCTTTTAACCATCTGTTATCTATAGCAAATACACACACTATCATATAGTTAACATAGTTAAGTTCAGCACTTGTCTCATTTAAATGTAAAGATTTGCTTCCATTTTCCTACAGGTAGTCTGTCTCTCCTTCCTCACAATCCCACTGTGCAGGTGCTATTGTTGCTCTTATATTTTCATAAATGTTATTTTCTTTTAAGTGAAATTTCTAGCCTGCACTTTGATGTCATGTGTTCCCTTTGTCTTTTGAACTCCAAGATCCCCTTCTGGTCCTCTCCCTTATCCTAAGAAGCCTTCTTGAAGACTTTACCCCTGGCTGTTTGGACTTTGTAAACTTTAAATAATTTAACTACCCTTAATTACTTAAAAAAAAAAAAAAAGCTTTATGATTTTCATAACTTATTGCTGATTTTAATGGGTTGTTAATTTCAGTCCTGTAGTTTTATTTTATGTTTAGATAGGGCTGGGCAAGGAAAAGAAAATAAAGACAACCATATTTAGCAATGCAGTTGAGTTGCGTGTTGATGTTTAGACTATCCTTTTGGGAGTAGCACTCTAACAGTATTCACTGCTTCAGTATATGAAGTGTACCATCTTGCTCAGACATAGCCCTCAGCATATACTTAACTACTCCTTGTGCTGTTCCTGTGCCTCCAGAAATATCTTTTCCTTGATTGTGCTGTTTGGGATAAATTCTTTGAAGTAGATGTGTATAAAAAACTGCATGCCTTTAGAAGCCTAGTATTAGAACTTGCTACACTTCAGGTGCTGGGTACTTAATGAAAAACATGACAAAACAAATTCATTTCTGTGCCCCCAGTAAATTATTGCTAATTTGTCATTACTACTGGCTGGGTCAAGATGTTACTGTGTATACTTGCTTACTTTTTGACTTTCCCAAGTGAGGCAGTTTAAAGACTGTTAGGAAAGCAATTGGAAGCCAGTGACTAAGCTTCCAATTTGTTATTCCCAAGGTAGTCACTGATACCATTCAGCCTAGGGCTAGAACTTGTACACCAGGTGAATTTGAAGTGCTGTATGTACTGGGTGAGGGGCTGAGAAGCCTTTATTATAAACCTGTATTATATATTTCACCTGTCCTGTAAATGACTCTTTC